GTAACGACAGAGCCAAGCACCAGTAGGGCCTTAAAGGCTTTTAGCCATGTTGGGTTTTAACATTTAAAAGCTGTGTTTGAATGTTAGACATGTCCATTTTGATGTGACACCAGATTTTGCATTTCAAACTGAAATAAAAGTTATGTTTCCGACTCGGAGTTCTGACTTTCAGAGTGATTCTTGCACATTTTGGTTGTGACCTGCAGCCAGTATATATTCCATGACATCCTCCGAAATGCACTGTACAATTTTCATGCATCTGTCAAGTTGTTCAAATGTCTACTTCGGATAATTCAAAAAAAAAAAAAATCGCTGAACTTGTTGCTGCAAAGTGACATCATGGCAAGCACTGTAAAAACCTTCTGCAATAACTAATCCATATTGTCAGATCACGCTTGATGTCAGTGTTTTATATTGGTTAGATCAAAGTGTGGGGTCATAAAGGTGATTCCAACTGTTTTCATATAATTTTTAAGAATATTAATGGCGCTTTATTTGTGAAAGGATTCCAGCACTACATATCACCATGCTACTGAAATACTTCCTGAATATTACACACAGTTCAAAAGTTAAGAGACTTTTGGAGAAGATGAAGGAGCAGGAGGAAGGTGAAGGAGACACACTGAAGTTAGCAGAAAGAGGAAAGAAGAAGAAGACTCGAGACTCTTGCTTCATTCCCTCCAAACTTGTAATGGAGGTTTGATTAGCAAGCATGTAATGTACTTTACCCCCACGGCTGGAGACAGAGGGGGAGGAAGAGGAGGAGGGTGAAAAGAAACGAGGGATGGTGGGAGAGGTATAGCAGGAAGGAGGAGGAGTGGGGGCAGATAGGCTGTCCCTGCGGTCAGCAGGTGCGCTGGCACCCCCCCCCCCCCCACGCCCACCCCCTTCAGAGCAGGACACAAGTTCCCCCCCAAACTCTAAAAACCTAACATCACCTCTTCTGCCTACATACACACACATACAAATGCCATCTCCTCACCACTAACACCCCCACCCCCCACCCCCCAATCCGTATAGCTGCACCATGCTGTGTATGTGGTGGGTGTGGGTGGGGTAGAACGGGGTTGGAGGTCAAAAGCAGGAAGAGATTTTGTTTTCTTTTTTTTTTTGTTTGCCTGCCCCTGTTAACAAGCTGCACGTCTGCATGCAGGAAGTTGTTTGTGCACAGACACAATGCCAGTTTATTTGAATCCAGCAGGGGAAGAGTCGGCCGTGTTATCTCTCGGCTGGTTTTAGGGTAAAAGGCTAAAGAAAATGTTGAGGTGGCATCCATCAGTGTGTTGCTTTTACTAGCAGAAGAGCAGAGAAGCCATTAGAAAGGAAAGGGGCCTTGTACCTCAGTCATAGAAATGTCCATATCATAACTTCCACCTATTTCACCAAATGTTTGCTCCTGAGGTTAAAATGTTTTTCATGTTCTTGTTTTTTTTTGTTTTTGCTTTTTTTTTTTTTTTATCAAAAATGCACGTTTTAACACAAAAACACCACCAACTTGTCACAACTTCCAAAATGACAACACTTAAAATCTAGTTTACTTCTCCAGAAAAAGATACTTGAATAAATAAATAAATAGTTTATTTAGTGTTTCCAGTGCTCTGAATTATGGAAGCAAAATACAATCAAAATGCAGTTTTCTTGCATAAGTATGACTCTCATTTAACCTTTTAAACATCACTGATAACCTAATGAATTTCAAGGACTTTCCCAAATGAAAACAAAACCTATTTTGAAAGCTTATTTAATACATGAACAATTAAACATGGAGTTTCCCTTCGTCCTTCTGTGCCTCCCACCATGCCAGATCAGCATTTCTCCTCCCCCCTCCCTCCCTCTGCCTCGCTGTGCTGTCGGCTCAGGGTGTGAGCAGAACAACGTTAATGTGTGGAGACACCTGACAAGCCCGCTGGCCTTTAGGGCACAGCCTAATCACTCTGGACCCAAACCCATCGGGAATTAAACCTGCAAAACCAAACAGTCACTGTGGGAGCTGGCTGGCATCTGCTGGAGCCATTCGACTGGCTGAACGTTACGGACGGCATGTCAGTTAAAATGAATTTAAAGAGAACCAAATCGTAGCCCCTGATAGATTTACACACAAACCTGTAGTGCTATCAGTTACCCAGGAGGCTTTATTATATGCATCGCAGTTTCAAGACTGATTGTTTGGAAATTTTACTGAAGCAAAATGCATCATTTATTCTATTTCTTCCACTGTAGCCGTCTCTGTGGGTCATTCTTTACAGGACACAACTGTGACGGTAAATCTTACAGCATTAAAGTCTCAGGGTTGAATCCTACACGCATGCACGGACATATTCACATGCCATTGTATTAAAAAAAATGTCCAGAAAATTATAATTCTGCATGAACAGGCAGAGTCTGATAAATGCTGGCATTTGACAACATAAAGGAGGTTTGACAGAGAGAGGCCAAGAGTCAGTCTGAAGATGTCGCTGTCATGTGTTTGAACTAACATGAAAGCTCTTTTCCGTCATTCAGAGTACAGTAGTGCGTTAACTTTAAAATTAATGGGGATTTTCCAGTGTTTAAAGTACAGTAGCTTGTTAACTCCGGTATCTGTTAAGCCACGCAGGGCCCCTCTCCTCTCCCTCTCTCTCTCCAGATGCCCTCATTAATTTTAGATTGGCTCTAAATGAGTCTCCTTCATCGCGGCCGAGGTTTTCTAAATTAGATTCATTTATATTTAAATTGTGAAACAGGCGTGGTTAATGAGAGAATCGTTATTTTTTGGGTTATTTCAGATGGGCTGATAGTTGGGCAGCTCAGTGCTGTGTGAACTGAAGCCACCAGAGGAGTCGCACTCACATGATGTGAGGTGCACAGTATTTGGAGTTTTTTTTTCTCTAACATTATGAATTGTCTATTGACAGGATTTCAAAATAAAGGCTTTCTAAATAGAAACAGATGGATTATTTGTCAATAAGACCACCTGAGCAGCAGAAGCACTGTTCTGAAGAGTTTAAATTAGCAAAAAAAGGAGACCAAATAAACGGCTCATGATTCTGGAGTTTTTATAAAACCTTTTGGATACATCTCAATTCTTTTCAGTGTGAAACAAACAAATAAAATTGGGGGAAGGGGAGTTTTTCTTTTTTACAGGTTTCAGTGTTTGTTTCTTGAAAGCTCAAATTCAAAACTGGTAAGAAGATAATTTTTTATGCTTTCTGCATCGTTTATTAGAAGGACGAATATGTAAAAGAAGACTGGCATACAAACATAACATATCCTTGCTTGTTTCCTTTGGTAACGCCTAATTTACCACTCTTAAAACTAACGTGTCACTTTCAACACATCTGCGTAGTTCTCAGCACCACATGTGCCAAAAAAAGAATTACAAGACACACATGTTGACTTAACAGGTGCCTCCTTCGACACGTGATGCCCCGACAGAGCAGCAGGACGCCTCGCGACCTAAACTGCTAAAATTGGAGTGTTGAAAATGTCACATCTGAGGAAACAGAACGTGAGGTGGAACAACAGAGCTTCGGCCCCGTCCCCGTCAACCAACCCATCCCTCTCATAAAAAACACAAATCACACAGCGCTTTACAGGCTCCTTACACAGCGTCTTACAGCTCTCAGCGTCCTATAGCAACCCCCAGCTTCTCCCCGCCAGGAATTTGACTGTTAGGAATCTAAGTGCCAGGCGTTTAAAACCTGAGGAATGCTATTGTTCTGGTCACAGCTGCACTAGCACTGGCCTGGCTACTGCTGCCACTGTGTGTGTGTGTGTGTGTGTGTGTGTGTCTGTGTGGAAGAGGGGGGTTTGGGGGGGGCAGGGGAGGAAGGAGGGCGGGAGGAGTCGAAGGTGTGAAAAAGGCAACTTTACGTGTTTCCAGTGCTCTGCGGTCTCATGACAAAGCAGCACATAGCTGACAGCAAGTTGACACATTCCTCAGGCCTGGCCGGTTGCAAAGCTCTCTCCACCTCCCACTCTCTCTCTCTTCTTCTTCTTCTATCGGCCTCCAGCATCATATGTCCCACTTCATGTCTATTTTTTTTGATCAGATAAATGTAAACAACACACATGCTCACCCTTGCAAAACACACCGAGGCATGTATGTAGAGATGAAGCGGAGGATTAAACCAACAGAGTTCATATGATGCAGGTGTGCTCCTAAATACAGAGCTCAGTATGAGCAACAGATAGTTCTATTTTTTCATGTTGTTTCAATCTTCGACGCTGTGAGCGCCACTTGTCGTTTAGGTAATGGGAAACTTCTTGCGATGAAGATATGATGTGGTTGAAATCCCACAAAAAGACAGTAAGTGATCCTTGAGATACAGTTTTATTTTATTTTTTTTGTCAACCCCCCATTTGATTGCTTTAGTTGTTTGTTTGTATACTTTCATTTTTTTCTATGAAAACACATTCAAATGTGATGTTAAGTTTTGTTTGACTGCTGTTGCTTTATATTATGTAGTCGGAGGCTTTTATTCATTATCCCTTCACAAAATTCCATGATATCTTTTTTTTATGTTTATGTTCTTTTCCTGGTTTTAACTAAAAACTCAATGTCTTATATTAAGACACGTCTGACTGGAGCCATAGTTTCATCACCTTTTGATGTAGCACTACACCCCTGATCCTGTACATGCATGGAGAGTATTCTCTGTCGTCTGACTCCCAGCTGGTTTTTTACCATATAAATCAGTTTCCTATATGATACATGCACCAGGAGAGGAAGCTGAAGCAACAGTAGTGAGGTGGCAGAGCCGCTCTCTCTCTCCCTCTCTCTCTCTCTCTCTCTTTCTTTCTAGTAATTACCATCCAGCTGCTTGGAGGAACAATGCTTGGCTCTCTTCCAGACGGCTGACTTCATACACTCTGTGCCACGCTCAATTTGGAGCGCAGCGGAAGCTGGGCATGACTGGCACCCTCCAGGGCATTGCTGTGTCTCTCTATGGGACTCACTGTGTGTGTGAGTGTGTGTGTGTGTGTGTGTGTGTGTGTGTGTGCGTCTTCCCTAAACCTACCGGTCCCCATTTGCCATCCGGTTCATGCAATGTCCTGGTCTCTTGACTGCATCTTCACTCTTCTGTTACATCACTGAGAAAAGACAACAGAAAGAAAACAATTAACTTCAACTAATAATCAGGGACATTTGATTTTACAGTTGATCTACTGTTGATTCTTAACAACAGTGTTGTGTTGTAGGGTTTTACCAGGGGCGAATCTTCATTCACAAATGAAATAGTGCTTTTCATTTTTCTGATTTGTTTGCAGTATTTAGTTGAAGATCTGAGTAGAAGCAGCATGTGCAGTGGTGGAGGATTGATTGTTGATCGGCACTTTATGGAAACACCACAGAAATAGTGTATTCAGTGTATTAATAGTAGTAACTGGTTGAATTCAAAGGGAGAAAAAACACTGTGCTGAGACTAAAAGGTCATAGTTCACAGTGAATCCTCGTACACCCACAACAGTTACCAGTGCTGCCCCGGATGCAACGTTGTGTTACCAGGCAACAAGTAGCTACAGTTCAGGCTAGGGACTAGTTTTTCTTTCCCCTTGATGCACTGCAATAAAGTTTAGTTGCAGGAAGTTAGAGCTTACTCTGTAGTGTTGTGTTAAACTGATGCGAGGTTTGGCTAAAGCTAATGTAGCAGCAAATCTACCAGCAGCCATCTGAATATGAAGAACTCCCTCATTATACGGGTCAAAGGAAGCTATTGTTGCCCCCCTCCTCCTCCAACACACACACACACACACACACACACACACACACACACACACACACACACACACACACACACACACACACACACACACACACACACACACACACACACACAGGATTTGGAGGAGGGATGAGGGTAGAACGCAGATAAAATCCATCCTCCTAAACACAAATAGTGGATGTATGCATCCAAAACTCCAAGCAGTCATTGTATACTACTGTACTCACACACACACACACACACACGGCAAACATACAAAGGCATGCACACAAACAAACACACATAGTGTCGTCGTCCCCACCCCCCACTGCTCCACTCAGTCCAAACTTGGCTGAATAGGGTGCAGTACGACCCAGCTCTTCCTTCTCCGGCACAATGAGGACCTGTTTGGGTACAGTATGCCCAGTTACCCCGATCCCACTGCCCAAAAAAAGCAACACAAACAAACACACACACACACACACACACACACACACACACACACACACACACACACACTACCAGCCCTCGTCTGGTCCCTTGCTGTTGTGGACAGAAGGGCATTTAAAGAGCAGAGAAAAACAGCAACAGTTGCTAATTGTTGTGTAACACTTCGACGAGGAGATAGCAGCATTAGACTAGCCTTCTTTCAGATAGTCACACCATCCAGCTGACATGGTGTGATCTGACTCTATTTTATGACAAGACACTGTGAATCTATGACAGAAAGCTGTTTAGACAATACACATTAGAGCCACATCTTCCACTTTCACCAGATTTCCCCTCACCTGTAATTCTTCTTCTTTTATTTTTACTCTTGAGAAACTGAGGCTACGACCACACTAACACGTTTTTATTTTAAAATGGAAACAATGTCCGTCCAGACGAGTGTTTTAGCTGCGTACAAACAAGCCCATTCACGTACACTGGGTATGAGCATGCAGGTGTAAACAGGAAGAGATTGTCTACTTTGCAGTTGGTTGCTGAGGTGTTGAATATACTATGAATGAACAACAGCAAGGGAAAAAAGTAAGACCAGAGATTTCTTTGCTTGGATGGACGACAAGGTGGAATTGTTACTGAAAGTAACATATGAGTATAAGGCAGTCGTGGCAGCAGAAAACAAATTTTTTTCAACTGTTTTCAAACTAAAACAGGCAACAAGTTCTCCAACCTGAAGGTTGTTTTTTTCAACCCTCTGATACGACCCATAGGCGTGTCTCCTGAAACAGTGCCCCTACTGGCGGCAGGTGTACCAGACCTTGGTTGTCATGGTTACTATAATTAACACGCAGACTGTACTGACAGTGGTGTATCTACCTTTGTCGCCATGGTTACTATAATAACAGTCACGGCTTGGTTAGGTTTCCGAAAAGATCGTGATTTAGGTTCAAACAAGTACTTCCTCAACATTACGTAGTCTTTGTTGTCATGGTTACAATATTAACAGCTAGTTTCCCATGGGAATTGAACACTGCTCTCCAGTGTCATATTCCTATGTTTTGTTAATCAATCCATCCACCACAACCTCCTCCAAACACAGACTTTGTCTCTTTTTATGCAACGTCGTACTTTTCCCTTTGTGCCTGTCACAATTACTATGGCCACTAGATGTTGCTTAGCAAAAAAATGTAACTATGGGTCATAATAACCTGGTGCACAAACGACCGATGGACTCCATTTTTTTTTACAGGAGGACAGTCTCAAAACGGCAGCAGCGTCCCAGTTTTTGGGGCTCAAAAACTCCAGAGTAGTGTTGATGCCAGACGTAAATGTAGCAAAAATGATGTGTTTTAAAACTAAAACATATTGTGTTGATCCATGTTTATTGTTCAACCAACTCGCCAAAGAGAACAGAGCATTGACTGCAAAAGCCTTATATACGTTAAATTATTAACACGTTTGTATGTTAACAGACAATGTTTTTTATGATTACTTTTTGCCACAACATGCACACACAACAACTATAGTATGGTTATCTTTTTTGACATTTAAACTACATGGTTAGATTTAGACAAAGACCTTATTGTTTAAAAAATGCAAATTATATTTCTGGTTTAAGACAGGACAAAAACCTGTCTGCATTTAAACCTTCAGTAGGAATTGGATGCAAATTGGATTCCCATGCAATTAATGGCTACAGTGATATTATTCGACTACATCATGTACAGGGTACGATTACATACCTAACTCAACCTCACAGTGCTGGAAGAAGGGAGGATAGTACCGGAAATGGAAAACCAGTTACCTGTTACCAGTTCTAACAAAAGACAAAAATGATTGCTGCCAATATTTTGTTGTTGTTTTCAGCATCTCTCAGTGGCTTGTCGTCAGTTTGACCTATCTCCCTGTGTCCTTAAGATAACGACCTACGTTATGTCGTTATCATATCTATACTAATGTCTGCCTCAGTACAGTCACAGTATATTCATATGAACTCCAGCATGAATACAATAACAGTAATGTCAGTCCCCATTTACAAAGCGTGCGTCTGAGGCCGCTGCAGCGTGGCAGAGGGCCAGGCCAAAGCAAACAGAGGTGTGTTTCTGATTTGACTGCTCACTCGCACACAGTGCAGCATCGAACAAACGGTTGCCGTTTTTTAACACTGTAGGAACTGCCTGAATGTCTTAATGACTTGTTCCACAGTTTGTATCAGTTTTGCTTTTTTAAAACAACACTGAATCGGTTGTGAAATACGAAACAATTGGTTTTACTTTCCTTAACAAGATCTCACTTGACACTTGGTTTCACTTTCCTAAAGTTAAGTTTCCAGCTGTATTTTACAGTTGAATTTACTTTTCTAAATATATTTTACTGTTGGAATTAAGTTACTGAAAAAGTAGTTTATAGTTGCTTTTACCTTCCTAAAAAGTACTTCCCTTTAGAGTTAGTTTCGGTTTTCAAAAGTCTCTGTACTTTACAGTTGGGTTTTCTTTCCTCAGTGTAATTTACAGTTGTTTGTATTTACTACAATATTTTACAGTTCATTTAACTTTCCTAAAATGCACTCTCCTTTACAGATGGTTTTACTTTCAGAGTTGGAGCATATGTATAAACCAGATAATCCTGGTTTAATCCAGTGTCAATGAACATGAGGAGAGATTTATGCATATACACATGGTGGCTAGAGAGGTGGAAATACACTGTATGAGTGCACTGATACTATTACATATTTGAGTGTGTAATTGAGCACATGTATGTATGTACATTAGAAGTGAGTGTATGCCACCTATTCTACATATATGTATGTATGTACTGTATGTATGCATTGCACCTGTGCATTTACCGACCTTGTTAATGCAAGTGCACGTGTTAATTTCTGTGTAACTGTGTGTGTGTGTTTGTGTGTGTGTGTTTGTGTGTGTGTGTGTTTGTGTGTGTTAACAGCAGAGGGCCCCCAGGCAGGGCCCCCCACAGTGTCCAGGGGGATTGTGGGTAGTTGGGAGAGGGTTTGGATTCTGGCTTTGTTTGTCTCTGTGTGCTGACATCACTGTGCTGATGGCACCAAATCCCCCGTTCTACTGCACACAGCACTTTCTATACAAAACACCAACACACATATGCACACACAACCTAACACACGCGCGTGCACACACACACAGTATAAGTTATGCCAACTTGGCCAAAAAAAAGTGCTCGCTCTTTTTTTAAACGCACATGCAGACATCCATGTTTGCATGTAGGCACACACACACACACACCTAACAAGGGATGAAGTGTGATCATCATATTCGGCCTCATGCAGCAACTTCATCTGACAAATCTACTTTTTTAAATACATATTTGACATTGTCTTCCACCTGCTGATAAATTTTATGACCCGATGACGCCTTCTCATATCAACATCAACAACTAGAAGCTCACTTAATCACTGAATTAGATTTTAATCATGGCTCAGAGATTACTTGAGTTTCTCGGGAACTCCTACATACCTTTCTTCTATTTGTTTATATATAAGCATGATTTATAGTATAACTGATACTTCTAAAGTACAGTTATAACATTATACAAGCATGGTCACATCCATGTATCTACACAGCCACATCATATTTACAAATGTTTTTACATATTGAGTATTTAGCTGCCTCTTCAGAGCTGCAGTATCTCCATACATGCCAGCCATTAAACTTGTTGTGTTGTCCCACACACATATTAAGTGTATTTGCTAATAAGCTCAGCTATCTGACTCTGTCTTTACACAGTCTGGTTAAACATTAACAAGGAGCCTTTCTCTTCCCTCCAGTGCTGTCTTTGGTATGTATGGAGTTCAGAGAAGAGGTGGGAGGAGTCGGTTAATCGGGTTGACGACACTTCCACTCGAGCCCTAGAGGAAACGGGCAGTCATTATTTCTCATCACTGAATTGTTTAATGGTTGTATTTGGTTG